GAGAGAGAGAGAGAGAGAGAGAGAGAGAGAGAGAGAGAGAGAGAGAGAGAGAGAGGGAGAGAGAGATTCCGTGCTTTTCCATGCTCATGCCCTCCAACGTTAAACAGGCATTATTCAGATTTCGGCAAATTGCTAGTTTCCTTTATTAAGCTGGGCGATATTCAACGCGGATTGTGCAGACTTGCATCTAGTCGCCTTATATCCGTGTTATGGGTGAGGCTGATGATTGGAAATGGCGGGCCTAACGATTGGAAGTGGCGTGGCTGAAGATTTGTAATAGCCGTGCTCACGATTGGAGATGGCGGGCTCCGTGATTTTTTTTGTAATGATATAGCTTCCCAATTAAAAGATATAATAAGTCACTGGGGCTGGCAACACGCTCACTGGGGATGGCAAAACGTCTGAGGGGATTTACTCGCAGTTACTGTAGGACTTTTCAGAACGAGTTCTGGATGTAATTCCGGTCCGATACAGCGAGTACAAGGCATAGTTGTGGCCAGATGCGTCCAGGAAAGTCCTAGTAGAAATGCCCCCTCAGAGGTGGTAGGTTTGTCAACGCGTACACTGCTGCTGATTAGTGATTCTATGGCACAAGGTTAAGCCTGCAAAGTGAAAATATTGAGGGGAGAGAAAAAGTGGGAAAAAAAACGAGTCTTCGGAGGTCAAGTTTTTCTCGAGAGAAAGGTGATCAACGGGACAAAAAAAAAAAGAAAAAAAAAAGATCGAGCCAGAAGGGCGCCTACCTGTAGGCGGCGAGTTGTGTTAGTTATTAGGGGGGCTAAAAAGTCTGATCAGCCAAACCGAAGTATCGCTATGGCTTGGTATGCCTGTGGCTGGTTTGGTATCCCGACCCAATCACTGCGGCTGCTGATCGGGATCGTTGCCACGTGGGACCTTCTCGCTTGCTCCTCCTTCGCAGAAGGACCGGCTGCGAGGTTCATGCCAGGAGTCCCGGTCGTCCGCAGGGACTGCGGGATGGGCGTGTCGTCGGCAGAAGCACGACCGGTTGGTAGCCCTGATCGCCTCCTCAAAGACTCTGCAGGCCGGCGGGAGCTGATGAACCTGCACCCGTTGTTTGTCAATGAGAAGAGCGGAGAGGTTGTGAAGCACACGGCTATGCGTCCTGGTCCTGACGCTTTTTGGTGCAGATCTGCTATATTCCATCTCGTGGCGCGCGAACCCTCCCAAGTCGACCAGGCAGTGGATAAGGCAACGATCTATTACGTTCTGGACGAGGCGTGCTTTTCCCCGAACAAAACCAGAGCAGACAAAGTGATATCCATCAGGAACGCAAGTTTCTCGCTGGCTGATCCAGCACGGACTCCCTTGAATGCTACTGACAACAACACGCTCGTAACCTACTGGTGGCCGGCTTCCTCGCCCAATGGGACAAAGGTCTCTGATCGGCCACTCGTGAAGATGGGGGTGAACATGAGCTCTTCGGTGGCTACCACGAACGTCTTCTACGGCCTGGACCTGTCGAGATCGCAGACCAACCTGGTCGTCAGTTCTCAGCCCTTCGATGTCGGCGGCACGCGCATCATCACCTCTGTCTCTGTGATAGATGGGTCGCGCTCGACAGTCGATCCGGGTGTGAGGTTGATGCAGAGCTTGGGGCTCGATTCCGCCAACAACACCCTGTACATAGCCGACAACTCCCATCAGATCCTCTCCGTGCCTGTGTCCGACTCAGGTCTCCCCGCAGCTGGGCGCAACCCGTCCCAGGTGCTCAGTACGTTTGGGGATCCCAACGTCTCGAGGATTGCTATTGGTCCCTACAGTTTAGTCTCGGGCGGGAGTTGCATGTACTTCCGCGACGAGAAGCAGAGGCGCCTGTGGGGTTTCGACCCCCGACAATCCTCCTCCTTGTCCGACGTCACGCTCGTGGCAGGATCGGGAATCCCGGGGCCGCACGTCGTGCAGAATGTCGATGACGCCAACACTTCCTTCAACAACATCACGGCGCTGGTAACCACACCCGATGGGTGCAATCTCTTTGTCACGGAAGAGGATGGAATAGGAGACAAAGTGAATGGACTGGTTCGATGGCTGAAGCTAGAGCGGCCCTGTAGCATGGCAACACGAGTGGAGGTGGTGGCCAATGACACCGAAAACCGGTGGACCAGCATGGCCTTACATATGGCTCAGGGTCAGGTAAGTCTCCTTCTTGGCTCGTCAACTGGCGAGGTGTTTCAGCTGGTAATCAACGAGGAGCTCCTAGGGGGTTGCGGCTCTCCCCCTCCTCCCCTCGGCAGCAGCAGCAGCCCGCCGCCATCATCGTCCTCACTTCCCTCCACAACTCCATCTCCCAGACCTAAATCGAACCTAGTGCTCATCATCGCTGTGTCCTTGGGTGGAGGTGGCTTAACGACCGTCCTTGCTCTTCTAGGCGCTGTCTGTTACAAGAGGCAGGTTAGCGGACAGAAGTCGCGAGCCCGACAGGGTGAGCGGCAGGCTGGGCTAGCCTCCGCCGATTCTCCCTCGAGGGCCGAATGGTTGGTAACTGCCGCGACGGGATCTTCTCCATCCGTCGGCAGCGGGAGCGCGGTGGACGGGTCGTCGTCTACCACGCCCGACGATCGATCGAGGGGCAAGGGAACGGATCTCTCTTCGTCGAAGGTGCAGCGCTTCGAGCTGAAGAGCTTGGCAGACTGCACGGACGGCTTCCATCCCTCCAAGCTCACTGGCGACAAGGGGGCGTTCGGCGTAGTCTACAGGGGTTCCATGGACGGCAGGGAGCTGGCCATCAAGGTGATGACGGGCGAGTTGACGGACGTGAAGAAGGCACAGTTCGTTGCAGAGGTGAACACTCTAAGCAGGTTGAACCATGCCAATCTCGTCGAACTCGTTGGGTTTTGTCAGGAGGAAGAGAAATCCATCTTGGTCTACCCTTACTACGCGGGGGGAAGTTTGCACCAGCGATTACACGCCAACAGGATAGAGACAGAAGAACACAAAGAGCAAGAACAGGGAGAAGAAGTACAAGGACAAGAAGCCGGTGGGCACAACCACGAGAACAAACATGATTTTTCACTGTTGACGATAGAGGAGCGCATGCGCATCGCTTTCCAGGTTGCCAAGGGACTAAGCTACCTGCACGATGGCGTAAGGCCGGCGATCATTCACCGAGATATAAAGAGCAGCAACGTTCTGCTCGGGGAGGGAAAAGGGGACATGGTCGAGGCGGTCGTGGCCGACTTCGGCCTGGCGGCCATCGGGGAGAGAGTGTTTGGCACAGGTTACGAGCACTTCGTCCAGACATCGCACGTGGGGGGTACTTTCGGGTACATGTCCCCCGAGTACAGGATGTACGGCAAGCTGTCGGAGAAGAACGATGTGTACTCCTTCGGCGTGCTTCTCCTCGAGCTGCTGACTGGGCGAAAGGCTGCCTGGCCGGCGGCATCGGGGATGGGATGGGAGATGCTGGCCACGTGGGTCGGCCCGTTCCTTTCAGGAGGAGGGGATGATGGAGATGGGGATCCCGAGGGGATMGACGACATGCCSTTGGCGATTCTCGATCYTTCCTGCCGCGCTCAGGTGGCGCGTGAGGCTCCCGCCAAAACCATGGTGATGGAGGCCCTGTCTCTGGCGGGAGATTGCGTCAACGAGCAAGGCAAGCATCGGCCGGCCATGAGCACCGTGGTGCAACACCTTCGCGCCACATGTCAGCATGTGGGGATAGCCTTGTGAAAGTTAACTCTTTTTATCCCGCATCAATGTCCCCTACATAGTTGCTTCTTCCCCCCCAAAAGGAACGCAGGGTCGTTATCGCTGTATCTCTATTGATGACCGAACACATCGGTAATGACCGTGCAGCCCTTCTATTCTATTTGGGGGAAAAGGAAGTCCCTGCCAGCGTCAGAGCATAGGCCACCACATTGACACGGGAACACCGTTCATTAATGAAGCCAGAAGCTTTAAATAGCCCCGGGAGGCGGCCACGCGTGACAGTGGGGGTGGCTCGTTGGGGTTAGGCAACTCCAACCCCGCCCCCTAACACACACAAAAAAAGAAAAGGAATTTCTGCGGAGAGGGGGATGTTGTTGGTAAGAACGAATTTTTGAAAAACAAAAAAGAGGAAACTGCTCCGGAGTCACCCTTTTTAGTTTGAAATAGGCGAGAAAAGACGAAGAGGCGCTGAGTTTCATAATGTGCAAGTTTAGCAGGGAGTTGAAACTGTGCCCTTTTTCGAGAACTGCTGAAGTTGCCTATTCCAAACGCTAGGTATGACCCAGGAGCCATTGCCCCCCCAAAAAAAATCTTCATTGATTGATTGATTTGGATTTGGTCTTTTGGTTGATTGATTGATTCATTGATTGATTCATTGATTGATTCATTGATTGATTCATTGATTGATTCATTGATTGAATGATTGATTGATTGAGTGACAGATGATTGATTAATTGATTGATTGGGATGGGTTGATTGATTGATTGATTGATTGATTGGTGGGGGGGGGGAGCCCCCAAATATGCACACACACTCGTGCACTTTTTTTTTCACGTTTTTTTGTTCTTCTATTGATTGATTGATTGATTGATTGATAGATGGTTGGGAGAGGGGTCCCCCCCCCACGCACAAACACGCACACAAACACACACACACTTGCACACTTTTTTTTTTCCTTGTTTTCTTGGGGTCACTAGGGCGCAGTCACGAAAGCAGTTTGTAAATGCATTTCGAACTGCCTTTTTTTTTGGAGTCCAGTACAGTCCGAAGTTTCAACTGCAGTCGAAACACTTCACACGCATAAAAGTCGCAAGGCCGAGTTTGCAACTGCAGTCCAGTTCCGCATGTGGCCTCATTTCCTTTTTTTCTTTTCTTTTTTCTTTTTTTTCCCTCGGACGTGGCCGGGGGCATTGCGGCCGTGTCCCAGCCACACGACGAGATGCTCTCTCTCTCTGTTTTTTTTTTAACCTCAGGGCATACTCACACGGCGACCCCAAATCCGCAAAAAATATGCGGATTTGGGAAGGTCCGATTTGAGATTGGTTCACGTCACACTGCTGTGCCTTTTCAGATGGGACAAGGTCGCGGCCGTCTGGAGAAATGGGGATTTGGTACTTGGCTGGTCACACTGCGCCATCCACCAATTGTGCAAGAACTTTTGTGAACCAATTTGTTCCAATTTTCAAAGAAAATGCAAAAAAAAAAGAAAAGGGATTTTGCGGTCACCTCCAGAGGTGACCGCAAAATTCTTTGCCCCGCGGCTTCCCAGGCCGCTGACAAATGGGCACTGGAATAATACATTTCCGAATTTGGTAGATCCGTGTGACCTGCCTTTTTCCCTTTTTTTTTGGGATTTTGGGATTATATGTCCCCGTGTGAGTATGCCCTCAGATGTGGGCGAGGCATCACGGCCGTGGCCAGCCATGCGACGGGACCTAGATTTATTTAAAAAACAAAAGAAAAAAAAAGAAAAACAGAGGACCTTGTTCCAGTCTTCTTGACATGACCAAAAGACACAAATCATGGCGCTGTATCTTTCAATGTTCTAGAGGAAGATTCACTCTCGTTTTGCACATTTCGAGGGTAGTGGAGCCAGGCAAAACGAGAATGAATCTTCCGCTAGAACATGGAAAGATGCACCACCACGAGGGCCCAAGGATGACACGCAGAGGTCGGGAATAAGGAAAGAAACTGGGTTTTTGTCAGCACACGTCTCCCCTAGGGCCTCTGCTTTGTTGTCAGCTCGTGTATCCCACTGGGCCCCTGTATTCCCGTTGCACAGAAGACAAAAATCATGGAGCTGTATCTTTCCATGTTCTAGCCAAGCTTCGCTCTCTTTTTGCACATTCGGAGATCAGTCGTGGAAACCGAGCGTGAATCTTTCGGTAGAACATGTGTGAGAGTATACTCGCAAAACCATCCACCAGTCACTAACAAACGTAGGAGCAGACCATACCGGCACACAGCCTAAATCAGTCAAACATTCGTCAGTATCCATAGACACGGCCACAAGGCCTAAACACACATGCATGAAGACCACCGACGAGAAGAAACATCCATGCACAAAGTGGAGAATGTAGAAGAGAATTGACACGTCAATGTCTCCCGAACGCGACAGATGGCATCGTTAAATTAGAATCAAACCCGCCAATCAAGTTGAACCCGAAAGTAGACGTCATGTCCGTGTCGAACAACACAGGGTCAACACTCTGGCCAGACCCTACGTGTTTCATCCGGAGCCGGTTCAGGAATCATCAGGGGTCGTCACGAGATCGAGTGCCAAACGATGTGCCGAGAAGACTATATATAGGACAAACAGACACTCAAAATAGTCAGCCAGAGTCACTAAAGGAGGCACCGGGCAGTAAGCTAAACTACAAATCCACAGCTCGAAACCACAGCGGTCTCTTATAAACCCAGGGTCCTATTCGAAAAGGTGCTTCTAGGTCCTCCAACGAATTCCCAAGGGACCCACCGTAGCACGATACCCGGTACTACCAGAGGCATCACCCTCGGCGAAGAGCGGACCCACAACGAAAGGCAAGCCACGACTTATTGAATCCCAGAAGGCCAACTAAGCACCAAGATTGATCGGAGTCCAAAAAGGAGCTGTGTGTCTGCCCAAACAGTATGTCCCCTTCCCAAATGGGCCATCCTGGGAAGATACAGCGCCAAGATCTTTTTTTTTTGCCTTCTTGTTTCTTCTTTTTTTTTTTTGGAAAACGGCCTGGCCCTCCGATGTGGATGACTAGACGGTAGTTGCAAACTCCGCCCGGCGACAGCCACACGAGGGCCGAGTTTGGCCTGCAGTGTAACTTCAGAGGGGACTGGACTCCAAAAGGGCAGTTTGAAATGTACTTTCAAACTCTAACGCTGACCACGCCCTTGTGTGGCTTTTGGGTTTCACAAGTGCAGCCCCTGGCCAAGCATCACAGGTCCTGTGGTAACGGTGGTGTCCAGAGCGCCCCAACCGTTGTTCACTGCATTGAGCACACATCCTCCAACAATGCTACGAGGTGCGGCAGGCTTTTGGGTTTCTCGTTTGTTGTTTCCTTTGTTTTTTTTTTTGTACTTTGAAGAGGAATATATGGCAAGATAATTCAAAGGAATTTTTTTAGTATTATTTGTTTCTCGAACCGGGCCCGTGGTCTGGCCTCCACACCACACACTGGCACACAAGAGATGAAAAAAGGACGATCTGCCGACAGGAAATGGCAAAATGCATTTGTAAGAGGTGTGCATGGAAGACGAATGAGTGAGTCCCTCCATCTTGGGTGGGGCCCCTGCCCCACGTCTGTGCCCTCTGGCATGAAGACTCGGTTATGCTGGTGGGGAGGTTGGCCTGCAGGAAAACAGGTCCAGCCTTTGGGTGTTATTTATGCTGAAGGGAAAAAAGGAAGCAGTTTTGTATTACTCCAAGGGACCCTGCACAGTCCTGAAATATGAAAGTAATGGGAACGGACAACTGAAAGAAAATCTCGGATTTCCTTTTCCTGCCACAGGCAGCTGCACGGTGAAGTAAACTACTCAACTTCCAGGCGCATGTGGGACCCGCCCCCAGTGCCACATTTCGAAAGTTTTCAGACAAAAAGAAAAACTTGTGCATGTCCGAAGTCCTAAACAGTGAGAGAAGCCGCACCAAGCGTACTAACCCTAGCAAGTGCTGACTACTTTGTATTTGGCCGGAGCGACATTGTAGATACATTGCTAGGGGGCTGATGGTTGAGGCCACATTCACAGCTCAAGATTTTCTACTGTGTGTCTGAGACTAGGTCAGTAAGCTGGACAGGTTCTCCGACTGTGATGGTTAATAATATACCTATTGATTTTGGTTTCCAATGTTAATCCTTAAGATTTTCACAAGAGGGGGTTGCGGGTTGCTCTTGACCAGTAGGGGGGGCAGTAGGGGGGGCCCATTACCCACTACCCCGAGAGTACGGATAAAGGGCATACTCAGACAAGGCATTCAGAATTGCAGAATCACAAAAACAGAGGCCACATTGAGTCCCTGTGAAAGGAGGACTCTATCTGACCCCTCATTTTGCGATTTTGCCATTTTGAGGGCCTAGTGTGAGTATACTCTAGGTTATGAATCTTCTGATGTGCTTTCTGCAGGGATGCATAATCCAGTTTCGACAGGGATTTTTCACACCTCTCCACAAAGACGTTGAGATTCAGGTTAAAAGTCTTGCTGGTGGGGCCTTGGCCCCGGGCTATAATATGAAATCAGATATTGGAAGAGATTTGAGTTTTGTTGGGTTGGTGGGTGGTAGTGTTCTTTCTGTTCCCTTGGAGAACCAGAGGAGAGGTGCAGTAATTGGTCCAGTTGGCATGCTCCCTTACACTACCTGCTGACCCCTGGCCGGTATCGCCCAACTGCAGGTCAGGTGCAGCCCCCGGCATGTTCCGTCGTCGGCACCATGAAAACACGGATGTGGCTGGCATGGGTTCCCTCGTAATATTGTAATTAAAACAACATGCCTGAAAGGCCATCCTGTCAGCAGTGTCAGGCGATTGAATTGGTTGGCTTTAAAGAATTAGACCTTCAGACTGAGGGGGAAAAGAACTTCCCGTTGGGGTTGCAGCCCAGCTTGCATGAGGATGAGGGTATGGCACCCGGTATGCCCAATCTTAAAGTCTGGCGCATGTGATCGGTGTGTGACTTGTGGGGGACATGTTTGTCCTCATATGAATAGATTTAAACAGGTCATGAATAGTCAAGAGGAAGAAAAAAGAACAGTTGCAGTCTGCGTTGCACGCCGGTCCCGTTCACCAGCGAACGTGAACAGTTTCGACGGAACGTGCTCAGGCAGGATAATCTGGCGAACGCCAACGTTCTTTTTTTAGGGGTTGGGGGCCTGTGTCCCTGGTGTGTGTGTGTGTGTGTGTGCATGCTGTCGTATTCGCTATACACTAAAAAAAGCATGAAATCCACCCCTCGCGCCCCCACAATACAGACAATCAACCCAGCT